TGTGTTGAGTCTGCCGCTGGTGTCCCGAATTGTGGGCTCCCACGCCCTCCATGCAGGTCCGCTCCCCTTCCAGTGCCAATGTGTGGACTCGGAGCCCTGGACGTCCCAAGTCTCCCTGCTGTTTTCTGTGTGGCACACACTCCCCTTCGAGCACTGGTGCGCAGAGCCTGTGGCTTGCGCAGCTCGGTCTCGCGGCTCAGCTTCCATGGCTCGGTCCCGCAGCTTGGCTTCCGCGTGGTGGGCGAACTTGTTCTCCCAGTAGGTCCTCCAATTCACGGCCACTCAATCCAGAAGAGTTTCCTCTGCAATATTTTCCTGGTTCTTTTTTCTGAGGCTACCGTAACTCCCCTTTTATTAAACTAAATTTTCCCAGACTATCGGTGCGTGCCCTCACTATTCCGCCATCTTGGCTCCCTAGAATGGTATTTTCAAAGTCAGGATAATTCCTTTATTATTGCAAGATAATTACCATATGCCTTCAATCTTCCTTTAAATCTCAATTATCTCCTGTACCAACCTCTGTGAATAAGAATTATCCCAAACTTTTACCTGAAGTTTAAAAAATAATCTTGAAATTTAGATGATTGTAAGAAGGAAGAAAATATTTCTATTGTTTCATGAATTTCTAATAGCTCCAATATATCAAAAAGATATGCTAGGGCAGAGAAAAAATGCATTATTACCTGTCTCTTAAGTTAGACATGTTCTATCCTTTACGGGTGAACAATTATGGTATAAAATGTTAAGGGATATGTACAAAATGCAATGCAAGAGCTGACCAGATCAGAAACCTTGCAGTTTAATGTCAATTTTGCTAGATAAGCGAAAAAAATTCAGTCATTCCAGGTTATCTTACTCCAACTAAAAATACTGTGGAGGCTGGTGCCATGGCTCACTAGGCTAATCCTCCACCTGTGGCACCGGTACTCCAGGTGCTAGTCCTGGTTGGGGTGCCAGTTCTGTTCTGGTGGCTCCTCTTGTAGTCCAGCTCTCTGCTGTGGCCTGGGAAGGCAGTGGAGGATGGCCCAAGTGCTTGGGCCCTGCTCCCACATGGGAGACCAGGAAGAAGCACCTGGCTCCTGGCTTCAGTTTGGCTCATTTGGTAGCAGCCATTTGGGGGCTGAACCAATGGAAGGAAGACCTTTCTCTCTGTCTCTCTCTCACTGTCTAACTCTGCCTGTCAAAAAAAATACTGTGGTGGAAAGAGACTATATAGATTTTAAAATTATTTTTGATCAAAATCATTTTGCATTGCCAATTTTTATCTAGTGTACAACTGGATTTTCATATAACGTATTTCAGTAATTGCTCTATAAATAAATTTTATTTAATATTTGTATATAGTGAGGCTGACACTATGCCATAATGGCTTAAAGTGCCACCTGACATGTTGGCATCCCATATAGCTGCCTGTTTGTGTTCTATCTGTTCCAATTCCAATCCAACTCCCTACTAACGTGCCTGGAAATGATGCCCCAAGTGCTTCAGCCCCTTCCTCCCATATAGGAGACCCAGGACAAACTCATGGCTCCTCGCTTCAGCCTGCCTGAACCCTGACCATTGTAGTAATTTGGGGATTGAACCACTGAATGGGAGATCTCTCTTCTGTCTGTCTCTGTCTCTCCTCTCTCTGCAAGTCTGCTTTTCCAATCAACATTTTTTTAAAAGGTGTATATAGTGTCACAATATTTTACATCGTTTATTCTTGTGTAGCTTCTTTCATAGGCAGATGCCAATAGTTCCATAAGAGTCCACAGAAATAACTAACACAAAATATGCCAACAAACTGGAAAATCTGGAAGAAATGGATAGCTGTCTGGAAACATACCATCTACCCAAACTGAGACATAAAGACATAGAAAAGCTAAGCAGACCAAAAACCAAGATGAAGACTGAATCAGTAATAAAAACCCTCCCAACAAGAAAAGCCCAGCACCAAATGACTTCACTGTTCAATTCTACCAGACTTCTAAAGAATTAATTGTATTCTGCTCAAACTATTCAAAACAACTGAAAGGGAGGGAATCCTCCCCAACTCCTATGAGGCCAGAATCATCTTAATTTCAAGTAACTCAACAACAAAACAAAGAAACCAGTTAATAAATGTGCAAAGGACTTGAATAGGCTTTTTTTTTTAAAGATAAAATTGAAATGGCCAACAAATACATGAAAAAAGCTCAGAATCACTAGCCATCATGGAAACGTGAATTAAAAACCAGAATGAAGTTTCCCCTCATCCCAGCTAGAATAGCAACCACATAGAAATCAACAAAACATAAATGCTGGTTAGGATGTTGGGAAAATGTTCCCTAATATACAATTTTTGGGAACATAAACTAGTATGGACATTGTGGAAGACACAATGGAGATTCCTCAGAATCTGAAAATAGATCTACTATATGACTAGCAATCCCACTTATGGGAATTTATCCAAATGAAATGAAATCAGCATATGGAAAAATTTATGTGTACCCAAAAGTTTATTTTGGCTCAATTCACAATAGCTTAGTTATGGAATCAACCAATGCTGGATAAACAAAGTATTGTATATATACATAATGGAATACTAATCAGCAATAAAAAAGGAATGAAATCTTACTTTTATGAAAGATTTGGAACAGGTTTTTAACACTTTTATTTTTAAAGATTTATTTATTTGCTCTTTTTTTAAAGATTTATTTTATTTACTTGAAAGACAGAGTCACAGAGAAAAATAGAGACAGAGGTTGTACATCTGCTGGTTCACTCTCCAGATGGCCACAATGGCTAGAGCTGTGCCGATCCAAAGCCAGGAGCCAGGAGCTTCTTCCAGATCTCCCATGTGGGTACAGGGGCCCAAGCACTTGGGCCATCTTCTATTGCTTTCCCAGGCAATAGCACAGAGCTGGATTGGAAGAGGAGCAGCCAGGACTACAATGGGCACCTATATGGGATGCTGGCGCTTCAGGCCAGGACTTTAACCCACTGTGCTACAGTGCCGGCCCCAGGATTTATTTATTTATGAGACAGAAAGAGCTACAGAGAGAAAGAAGAGACACACAGAGAGATCTTCCATCTATTGTTTCACTTCCCAGATGGCTACATATCTGAGACTGGGACAGGCTGAAGCTAGCATCCAAAAGATTCTTATGGGTCTCCCACAGGGTAGCAGGGGCCCAGAGACATGGACCATTTTCCATTATTTTGGAAATATATTTTAAAAATAATTACATAATATTTATTTTAAATAAGTTCACACAATGCCTAGATATAAAATGCATTGTATTCTTCTGTCAGATTATAACTTCCTCACACACACAAACAGCACCTTGCTTATAGCATGGGATTAAGGTAATCACAAGATCTCTGGCATGATTTGCCCACCTTCAGTCTCCAACCTTCAATGCCACTGCAGAGAGCTCTTTCTTAAAAGGTAAATCTTATCCAGTCACATACTGCTTTACAATTCCATCAATAGCATTTAGATTAAAATACAAATTCCTGAGTTTGGCATACTAGATCCTCTAATATCTTACTCTTTCTAATCTATCTCCTATTTTCATAGAACTATGTGGCTTGAGCTATGCTGAACCATATGTACATGGATTGTGTACTTCATTCTGCTGTCCTGAGGTGTGGGACTATATGGCCCACTTTGCACAGTGTGTCCATCTTTTTCTTAGTGAATTGCACTTCATTCTTAAAGACCAGTCTAGACATTACTTTCTTCTAAGAAGCCTTTCCTGACCGGAGACTAGTTAGGGTGACTCTTTTGTACACTAAGAGCAAAAAGATGTTTGAGTACTTATCATAAGATAACATCAGTTTTGAAGCCTCCAAGAGGATTATTTTCTTGCTCAGTGGCCTCAGCAGATGGCATATGGCAGTAATTAAGGCATGTTAAATAAATCATATAAAGAATCAAGATATCAAGGATTAGAACTGCAAATACACAATAAAACACTTTCAACTAAACCTTACATGGTAGACTATGAAAAATATCTGAAAGGAAATAAGCTACAGAACTATCTAAATGTTTATGTAAATTATCTTTAAGTTTTTGTTTTTTATTCTTAAGCATAGTTTCCATAGGTAAAAACAAACATAAGGTGATTTTTTTGAAAATTAATTAAAGATGAAACAAGAGAATAACTACAAATTTTAGTAAATAGAATACAGCACTTTGATAAAACAGAGGCCATAGAAATTAATGTACAATGCAATCATATTTATGCACATAACATGAAGCAAATTACTTAAATTCACTACTTCTCAGTTAGATGCTATTCTTCTAATCCTAACTTCTATGAAAGTAGCAAACAAGTAGGAAACTAGTTAGAATAGTAAAATATTACAAATATCTACACACATACTATTATGAACTATGATCTTGAGCAAGAAATATTGCTGCCAATTTTGAAAGCATTTCAGATAATGCTTAATTTCCAGAATTAAGTACTATTAAATAGAAAGAGAAAATAAAACATCTATAAGGAGCACAACTATGTGATTCTACCTGAAAATGATCTCATTATAGTTGGATATCTATAAATTTCAAATGGTGAAAATACTAGAAAGGGGATTATAAAAAAGAACACCTCTGGATCTCCAGAGCACTTTTCAATGAGGTGCAGAGTTGACTAGACATAGTAAATAAGGTTAATGCCAAAATTTCACTTTAATAGGTTATTTTCCAAGCAGAAAGGGATTCTGTAAACAGTTAAAAGTGAACACACTCACACACACACAAACCTGTTTATAAATTCTATGTAGGGTTGTCATATGGCTAACCCACTGTAGGGGACTATGTAGAACCTGAGATCCGTTGTTGGAGGATGTCCAAACATCAGTCAGTATAGGTCACATCATCTATTTAAACCAATTCTCTGGAGATAAATGTGTTGAAAATAGTGTCTCATCTTTGATAGTGCAGTCCTCTATGAGGACTTTCTTTGTCTATCTCTCCTGAGAACAAATCTCTAAATCTTCTGTTAGAATGAAGAATCAGCAATCATGTTGTTGAAAGGAATAAGAGTTTATGCTCCTTAAATCCAAGCACTCACCACAGCCCTCACAAATTTGGATCAAACATTCTAAATTAATTATAGAATTCTGTTTAGCTGTTCCTCCCAACATCCAAAACTATTAACATCTCCTGACTTCTGTTTGTTTCCTCTTCTCTCTGCTCCAGCACAATATGGCTTCTTAAATGTCCTAATGCTAATCTCTACAGGTATAGGGGAGGTAGCTAGAGGAAATGCACTTATTTATCCCAATTCATTTAACCTAAGGGTATAGTATTTTTATTTTTATGTTTTACAATTGTTATAACTTAAAATATTAATTATATATTTAGTAGTGTTCTACCAAAGCTAATGACATTAAATACAGACTTCTGTTAGAAATTTCCCATTTCTTCTTCCAGCATCAGTGAAATGGTGTCAGGCTTCAAAGATGGAGGCTGGGTAAAGAAGAGGAAAGAAAACAGAAAAAAGAAAGAAAACAGAGTCTTTGAATAATTTGTTCCATATTTATTTATTCTTTCAAAAATATACCTACATCTTATGCTTCCAAATATGTATATTTGGCACGACTTGTTATGATATAATGATTTTTCTATCCATTGCTGGAATCTTTATAATTAAATATGCCATTTAAGAAAACTTCAAAAAAGTATTTTTCTTTTCTTTAGGTTTAAAGATTTATTTATTTGAAAGGCAGAGTTACAGAAGGAGAAGAAGGAGAAGGAAAAGAGAGAGAGAGCATGCTCCCATCTGCTGATTCACTTCCTAGATGACTGTAACACCCAAGGCTGGGCCAGGCTTAAGCTAAGAGCCAGGAACTTCTGGGTGCCACATGGGTGGCAGGGTCCCATGAACTTGGGTCATCTTCTGCTGCTTTCTAGATGCATTGTCAGGGATCTGGATCAGAAGTGGGGCAGCAGAGGCACAAACCAGCATCCATATAGGATGATGGCATTGCAGCTGGTGGCTTAACTAGCTATACCAAATGCCAGCTCCTCAATTTTATTTTTAAAAAATAGTTAAATATCCCATTGGTTCTAATGTATGATAATATTAAGTAGGAACAGCATAGAATACCTAATGATTTCCAGAATTTACAAAGCTGAGAAAATTTTGATCGATGTAATTAAAAGTTTTTCTATGAGACTTCCAAGAAAACATGAGAAAAGCTCCATTTTATTACACACTAATTTTTCCATATTAGGTATGACACTTTCCTGAATTTGATAAATAATGAAATACTTTCTCTGAGATTTTGAGTACGGAAATTAAAACAAATATTATTTCATCATTAAATGTCTTCAATTTAAAAAAGTTGTAATAGTATATAATTATTATCACTTAGTTTGCCAAATAGTTAAACCAAAGTGATAAAAGTGTAAATATCTTCAATATTGAATATAACTTATCTATGAGCTCTGAAAGAAATCCTATTTTTTTCAATTTAAAAATATCCTAATATACTATAATTCATTGGGAAATTATTCTGTTGCGTATTCTTACCTAATACTGCCTTAAATGGTAATCCTATGGTCACTGTAAAAAACAAACCATTATCATTATTGATAGAACACAGAAAAAGCCTTTAAAATATCATCACTTAAAACATTATAAGACCTAAAATATGATATAACATCTTATCTTAAAACCCAATTGAATTAATACGATTCAAAATTTTCAAATATTCAGATGTTTCATACTGCCAAGTAAATAACCAAATTAATTGGCATGTTTATGTGGTGCTGGCATCACAGGCAGTGGTTGAACATGTTGAGCCACAATGTCAGCTCCAAACTGCAAATAATTTTCTTTATATTGAACCCTGGAAATGATTAAGAATCTGTTAGTTCTCACTCTGTCTCTCCTTCTCTCTGTCAGCCTCCTTTCAACTAAATAAATCTCTAAGGAAAATGAGATCAGTGCTGTGGTACTGGTGTGGTGAGCTACTACCTCTAAGTCTCAGCTACTCCACTTCTATTCCAGCTCCCTGCTAATGTGCCTGGGGAAGCAGTGGAAAATGACTTAAATACTTTTGCTCCTATCACCCCATGGGTGACCCAGATCATTGAGTTTCTGGCTCCTGCTTTCAGTCTGGCTCAACCTAACTGTTGCAGCCATTTGAGGATGGATGGATGATGGATGATCAGTTTTTCTCTCTCCCTTCCTCCCTCCCCATCATTCTGCTATTCAAATAGATAGAATAAAACTTTTTATTTTTAATTTTATGAGAGAGAGAGAGAGAGAGAGAGACAGAGAGAGAGACTCCATCTACTGGTTCATTACCCAAATAGCTTCAATGGACAGAGCTGGGCCTGTCTGAAGCTAGGAGCCAGCAGCTTCTTCTGTGCACAGGGGACCAAGTACATTATTTACAGAAATAAACTAGGCAATAAGCTTTAAAATGCAAACTGACATTAAGAAGTCTAATATGAAATTTATATGTTCATGAAAGTACTCTAAATTTTCTTACCATTAACTTTATACTCAATAAAATATTTTGACCTCATATTAAAAATAAATGTATAAATGTTATTATTTTTGTGTTTTGTTTTGTTTTCTTTTTTAACTTTTATTTGATGAATATAAATTTCCAAAGTACAGAATATGGATGACAATGGCTTCCCCCCCCCAACGTCCCTCCAACCCGCAACCCTCCCCTTATCCACTCCCTCTCCCCTTCCATTCATGTCAAGATTCATTTTCGATTCTCTTTATATACAGATCAGTTTAGCATACATTAAGTAAAGATTTCAACAGTTTGCTCCCACACAGAAACATAAAGTGAAAAATACTGTTTGAGTACTAGTTATAGCATTAAATCTCAATGTACAGCACACTAAGGACAAAGATCCTACATGAGGAGTAAGTGCACAGTGACTCCTGTTGTTGACTTAACAAATTGACACTCTTGTTTATGGCATCAGTAATCACCCTAGGCTCTTGTCATGAGCTGCCAAGGCTATGGAAGCCCCCTGAGTTCACTGACTCTGATCATATTTAGACAAGGCCATGGTCAAAGTGGAAGTTCTCTCCTCCCTTCAGAGAAAGGTACCTCCTTCTTTGATGACCCATTCTTTCCACTGGGATCTCACTCGTGGAGATCTTTCATTTAGGTTTTTTTTTTTCCCCAGAGTGTCTTGGCTTTCCATGCCTGAAATACTCTCATGGGCATTTCAGCCGGATCCACATGCCTTAAGGGCTGATTATGAGGCCAGAGTGCTGTTAGGACATTTGCCATTCTATGGGTCTGCTGTGTATGTCACTTCCCATGTTGGATCATTCTCTCCCTTTTTGATTCTATCAGCTAGTATTTGCAGACACTAGTCTTGTTTATGTGATCCCTTTGGTTCTTAGTCCTATCATTATGATCAATTGTGAACAGAAAGTGATCACTGGGACTAGTGAGATGGCATTGGTACATGCCACCTCGATGGGATTGAATTCGAATCCCCAGTATGTTTCTAACTCTACTGTTTGAGGTAAGTCAGCTTGAGCATGTCCCAAATTGCACATCTCTTCCCTCTCTTATTCCCACTCTTATATTTAACAGTGATCACTTTTCAGTTAAGTTTCAGCACTTAAGAAGAATTGTGTATTGCTGTATTATAAGATCCCTCTAATTCTAAATGCCTGTGACTCTTAAATCATTAGCATTTATTGACTTCTTTTCACCTAAGAAAGCATCATAATTCACACTTACTTGACCTTTATGTATCAATATATGCTTTTGCAAGAGTCATATAATGTATGTAGGGTATATACCTTGCTTCCAGTAAAGTTGCCATGCTCAGTCCTGTAAGCTGTGAACAAGACAGTTTCAGTTCTTCAGCATTACACACAACTGTAAATTCCAGCAGCGTAACAGAAGTATTATCAGTATATACAAAGGAAGATAGAGATTTACAAAATTTTTAGAAAGGCATTAGTATAGTAAATAAATATATTTCTTTCTAAAGTTATAACATTTGAATATTTAGAACAGGAAAACTAAACAAGTCCTTGCCAATAATAACCTATATTGGGGCCTATATAGAACTCATTTTCCATCTTATGATACTAAAAGAATTGGGGTTATAAGGAAAAAATGAAGTCACACATGCAGAAATTTTAACCAAAACAGAATATAGATAGTGTATTTGTGTCATCTATAATCAAACACATAAGAACATACTATATTCCAGTAAATGATTTCTGAATATTTTTAAGTTTTATTGATGAGGGAATTTCCTTTTCATTGTACAGCAGTTATTCCCCTTTCCATAAAAGTGAAAATGATATTTCTCTTTCTTTTAAGATTTATTCTATTTATTTGAAAGACAGGGACACAGAGAGAGGTAGAGACAGAGAGAGAGGTCTTCCATCCGTTGGCTCACTCCCCAGATGACCACAATGGCCAGAGCTGTGCCAATCCAAAGCCAGGAGACAGGAGCCTCCTATGGGTCTCCCATGTGGGTACAGGGGCCTAAGGACTTGGACCATCCTCCACTGCCATCTCAGGCCACAGCAGAGAGCTGGATCAGAAGAAGAGAAGCTGGGACTAGAACCTATGCCTATATGGGATGTCGGTGCTCCAGGCCAGGGTGTCAACCCATTGAGCCACAGCGCCAACCCCCAAAATGATGTTTCTTTAAATTAAAAGAAATGGATGAAGTAATTCTGTAAAATATGTGAATTTTAATTGATCTATCAGAATTTATTTATATACAGACACACAGAAAATAAGTGCTTTTACATCTTATCATACAGATCATGATAGTACAGCATCTGATATACTGTGCAGAAGATTCTACAGTTACTTACAGTCCCAGTAACTTTACATATGGAATAATCTGCTTGTTTAGAGAATTTCCCAGAATCTTTTACCTACACAGCATTTAACATTAGCTTCTTGAACCCCTCCACTTTTCATCTTACTTACTCTGAGTCCCAATCAATACAGGAAAATGGCTGTGGAATCACTCTTTTGCTGAGTAATGGGAAGATGAAGAAATTAATGAGGAAAGAGAATTGTACAGCAAAGACCAAGACAAACCACAGGAGGTCAGGAAAGTCATCTGACCAAGTGAACTACATGCTCTGTCTTTTAATGCTTTTCTTTTCTTGCTTAAAAAGAGATCAGGGCTATTGCTATCTTTGATAACTAAGGAGAAGATAACCACAATGCTCAAGAAAAGTGAGTCAATAAGACACCAGAGCTAAGAAAAAATCCCAGAAAATAAAAATTAGAAAAAATCACCATGCACTCCCTTCACAGTTCCTGAAATAACAATGAAATAGAGCAAATATAAAATTAGAATATAAGGCCGGCACTGCGGCTCAATAGGCTAATTCTCCACCTGTGGTGCCAGCACACGGGGATCTAGTTCCGGTCCAGGAGCTGGATTTCTGTCCCGGTTGCACCTCTTCCAGTCCAGTTCTCTGCTGTGGCCCGGGAGTGCAGTGGAGGATCGCCCAAGCCCTTGGGCCCTGCACCTGCATGGGAGACCAGGAGAAGCACCTGGCTCCTGGCTTCGGATCAGTGTGGTGCGCCGGCCGCAGTGCGCTGGCTGCGGCGGCTGTTGGAGGGTGAACCAACGGCAAAAAGGAAGTCCTTTCTGTCTGTCTCTCTCTCTCACACTGTCCACTCTGCCTGTAAAACAAACAAACAAAAACAAACAAAAAATTAGAATATAAAAAAACCTCATGGCAGTGTAAGGAATTTTAACCTTTTTTTTCCCGTTTTTAAAATATAACATTTATTGCTTTAGATGGTTTGATACAGAACAGCTTTCTTTTCATTCTGAATCTGGAAGTTCTATACAACTGAATACAAAGAGGAACAAAAAGTACCAAAACCAAACTTGTGATTCTCTGTTCATGTGGCATAAACCAATTTTGTACATAACGTGTAGCAGCAGTTTTTTAAGTTCCCTTTAGAAAAATATGAATTCTACACATTTATTATTGTTTCCTGTTTAATGCATGGGCTGAAATCAATAGGATCAACTTCCTTCTTGAAGAGAGAGGGGAGAGGAAAGAGACGAACGTCTGACGAATCTTTCTGAACGGGCAACCGAGCTGCGTGCGAGACCGCCCTGGGGGCTTCGCTCTCACAGCCAGGTGCTTCCTCCTGTAGTGATTGACTCTCAGCATCGTGTCCATTAATCAGAGAGAAAAAAACAAAAAACAAAAAACAAACAAACAAAAAAAAAACTTGCACCTCAAAAAACTTTTCAGAAGATCCATATATACACACACACACACACACACATATATATATATATATTTTTTTTGTAAAAGCCTTGAGAGAAGGAGAGAGAGAATAATCAAACAAAATGTATGGAAACAAATTAGCTGGACATGCAAAGTAAGCTACGATTCACCCAGAGTTTAAACAAATCACAAACTTCACAGTTTAATACTCGGGGAGGGGACGAGAACAACGAACAAGTAATACATCTCTCAACCTCACCAATAAAATGTGGCAAGACCTTACTACGGGGGCGGGGGCACAGATCAAGGCTAAATAAAGCTTTAACTCCATAGCGATTACTGCGGCGGCAGCCCCGGCCCCGCGGCTTGCTGGGAGCGATTCCTGCTACATCTCACCGCGGCCTGGTTAGTCACGGCTCCTCCCCACAGCACTGCGGGTCTGGCGTGCAGAGTCGGAGAGAGAGACAGAACACAAGGAACCCCAAATAACAACGAAAAGAAAAACTGTAGTAACAATAGAGAGAGACCACAAGGGCTGCGGGAACTGGTTTCACATAAACAGACCAAGGGGCCAGCGGCTGTCACCTGCACTTGCCTCCACGGAAAATGGAAGCCCGTTCGGGAACTGGCTCGTGCCTCCACGTTACAGGTCAAAGCCAGCTCTGCCTCCCTTGTTAGCCTTCTGCACGCCCAGACTATGCTTTCCATCCTCTAAGTGTCTCCACCTCCCTCAGGGCCCCTGCCACCAGACCAACCCGTGAGCAAGGGGGAGAGGGACACGCGTGCTTTCACGTGCATGGACACAAGCACAGGAGGGGCGCCTGGAACCAGGAGGGGCTGGAGGGGGCGGGCAGGAGGCAGCATATATATATAACATAAGTGATTAAAAATATCTAAACAGAGAAGACAGTTAATTTTTTTAGAAATCAGAAGAGAGAAACACTATTTAAAAATTACTGTGGCAACACACAAAAGGGATGGAAAATTGTTACCTCAACTAGCATAGTGACACTGAGAGTATAAAAGGGGGAAATACGACCTACAGAGAAAAGGTGGGTCAGTTTTATTTATTTATTTTTTATTTTTTTGACAGGCAGAGTGGACAGTGAGAGAGAGACAGAGAGAAACGTCTTCCTTTGCCGTTGGTCCACCCTCCAATGGCTGCTGAAGCCAGCGCGCTGCAGCTGGCGCACCGTGCTGATCCGATGGCAGGAGCCAGGAGCTTATCCTGGTCTCCCATGGGGTGCAGGGCCCAATCACTTGGGCCATCCTCCACTGCACTCCTGGGCCACAGCAGAGAGCTGGCCTGGAAGAGGGGCAACTGGGACAGAATCCGGCGCCCCGACTGGGACTAGAACCCAGTGTGCCGGCACCGCAAGGTGGCGGATTAGCCTATTGAGCCATGGCGCCTGCCAAGGGTCAGTTTTAACAGTTGAAAAAAAGGGATCATAAAGAACAGGAATGAAATTAGCTGAAACGATGAGTAGAGAAAAGTTTGGGAGAAAAAAGCATGGTTTGTTGAGATATATTAATGAAAGAATTACACATAAACTCCAGCAAATAATAGGACATGGATAATTAAAACCAGAGTTATATCCAAACTCAGAGCAAGCAGAAACATTCCACTTTCATACGTTCATGCTTAAAATCCCCATAAATGCTACATCATTATCATTCAAGGTTTCATGACATTTCAATACAAATTAACATATTTGCAGTCTAAGATGTGTACTTCTCGTATATTTCTGACATTAGGATGTGCTAGCAAATGGTGGCATGGCATCATTGATAGGCTTTTGATTTTTTGTATTTGAAACAATAATTGTATATTTTACTATGATGAAATCATGAAATCAATAAAACTGCTATCCCTGAAGCATACTAATCTTTTAGTTTAAAAATATTTGCACTTTTCAGTTAATGCCAATTCTGATATTTCTTTTAACCAAGACAAAGGAAGATGATCAGCTACCACAAGAACATGACAAACAAAATCTACCTTTTGAAATCCTAAAAGGAATGAAAGCAAGCATCATCATATTATTTTATAACATTAAACCCAGTAAAAAAAGGTCAGAATAATGACAACATAACAGAGATTTATGATTATATTCTAAATGCTGGAATGGCAACTTTGATAAGTAGTAATTACATGAAAATATTTCTACCTCTTAGGCAAAAAACTGAAAAAAAAAAACACTGAAATGCTGTGGTTCACACTGAAACTATCAAATCATTTTAGTCTGGAAGGCTACTACAGTGACTGATTTGCTTACAATTTCCCATTGTTAGAGGAACACATTTCAAACTAGAATGAAAAGTCAAATATCAGCATACATACATACATGCAGACACACACACACACACACACACACACAATGTATATTTGGGGGAAGGCTTCAGGCTTTCTTAAAATTCATTATCTAACAGTGCTTTAAAAATTCTTAGATTTTTTTAATTTAAAACCAACATTCCTGGTTTTAAGCGTTGTTAATAGCCTAAAAATATGTTCCTGATCCAAGCTCAAAATAATAACAGAAATAGATAGGAAAATAATACAAACAATAAAAAGCAGAAAAAGGGTAATAGTTTAAGATGAAATAAAAAATGTAGTACAGGAAAGATGGCAGAATAGGAAGGGAGCACACTGATAGTCCGGGTAGAGACAGTTTAATAAAAGTGGAGATACTGCAGATTCAAGGAAGAGTAGGGGAGGAAACAGCAGAAGAAACTCTTCCGGAACGTGTGATTCACAGTGGACCTGCATGGAGAGTGTGGGAGCCCACAGTTCGGGACACCAGCGGCAGACTCAACAGACCAGTGCTGGAATGTGAGGTGAGCCGAACCTCAATAGCCCGAGACACTGGCAGGCAAGCGGGGAGAGGAGACTAGAGGGAACGACCCCTGGAGGGGAAAGGTTCACCAGGCTAACTGGAAGAGAGAGAGAGAAAAAAAAAAAGGTGACTGGTACGGACACGGGTTTCTCTCTCTCCGCTCACCTCTCAAGGGCGAGCAAGACAAAGAGCAGGCGCCATCTTGGACATATGTCATAAGCAGAGCGACCTCAGGTCTGCATCGGCCCTGAGCCTAGCAGAAAAACCTGACTCTGGGCGGGGTGAATTAACAGGAGATTAGGACCTAGTAAATTTGTGGTGCTACTGAACTGAGACTGTGAAAAAAGAGACGGTGGGGGAGAGAACCCACAAAATTCACATGACTACTCTCCAGAGACGCTACAATTCCGTAACTTTGGCAACCCAGTGGGAGACTGAAGGAGAATCTGAGCCCACTCTGAGGGCAGAACAGATTCCCTGTGTGGTCCTTGGGAAAGAGCTTCCAATCTCTGGCTCCTGTGGGTATATCATTTGCCTGCTAACTACCTCCAACTTCGTTCAGCTGTGTGGAATTACTTCCCTTTTGAATCAAAAAAAGAAAGAGAGAGAGAGATCTACCACGCCTAACCTGGGAGTGTCACCTTTGGCACACCAAACAGAGCTCTCAGGCCATACCCATCTCAAGCCCTAAGGCTCCATCAAAAACAGATAGTCCACTTAATCTAGAGTCTTAGTATAACAAGAAAAAGCACCACAGTGAAGAAACCAAATATCTCCAATATGCCAAATAACAAATGCAAAAACCAAGGTAATAAAAACAAGGAAGTCACCATGACGCCCTCAAATGGAAAAGACACCCCAATTCAAGATTA